CTCTAAGCCAACCTCTGTCATCATTAATAACATTCATTGGCACAAGTTCCCTTTTCTTGCTCTCTGAGTGGTATGTTTGGAGGAAAAAATGCTAAGAACATTTACAGCCAGCTGGAGGACCGTGACAGTATGTCAGCTCATCAGGTCTCACCTGCTGCCTCCTGATCGCAGGCCGTGGGCACAGTGAGGCCTCTGTGCTGCCCCCAGCTGCTTCTCGTGTCACTGTCCTCGTGCAGAATCTGCAGCATCCAGCCACGATGCATCTGGTAGCTTGCAGAACCTTTTTCTGAACCAAGTTGCTCAAAACCTTCACAGCGCGTGATGACCTTGGCTTCCTAATCCAAGGTGCCCCCTCTTCGGGATGCCTCCATCCTCCACACCAAGGGCCACAGCAGCCAGAGTGAGCTTTTAAAGAGACACTCAACTCGTGCTAGTTCTCCCCTACCCAACCCCAAGCAACCACCTTGAATACATCCTGCTAGTCTTGATTAAAGATTGAAATTCTCAACCCAGCCAATGGGCCTGGCAAGTTCTGTTGCCCACCTACTTGTCCTGCCCACCTTGGGCCGCTCTGTACTGCATTCTCTGGGTATGAGCCACACTGGTGCTCTGCAGGTGTGAAACATACCGTGATCTGCTGTAGGGTTTTCACACTTGCTGTTTCCCCAAATGGGCCTGTCTCTCATCGCTCACGCCCCTTCTGCTGTGGAAAACTCCTTCCCTGTGCCCAGACCCCAATTCACACTGTCTTTCCCCGATGCCCTGGCTTGGTCTGCAGCTCTGTCCCAGCCTCTCTCCAGGTGGCTGTTGCACCACACCACCTCCTGATGGTGCTTCTCAGACTTCATGTTTCCATTTGTTTTGGATGGGCTTTGAAAAATTAAAATCTCCACGAAACCGTGAGACTTGGGAAGGCAGAGTGTGTCTATTTTTGTTGACCAAATTATGTCTAGTGCCTGGCATCAGGCTTGGTGAATAACCAGTTGAGGGATTGATCGAAAGAATACAAAAATGAATAGATGCGACTTGCTCCATAGGGCACTCTTGAAGACGATCTTCATCTCAACTTAGAAAGATTTCATGTTTAACAGCAGCAGTGTGCGCGGGTAATGCTCTGGGTGGGTGGCTCACATTTATTTCCCAAAAATTTTGTTCAAGTTATGCCACTTTACTTTCAGGAGAGTCCTATGCTGGTACCTGGTTTTACTAATTGAAGGAAATGTGAGGAGAACTTTCACTTTTATGACAAAATATGAAAAGCAAAAGTAGCGTTGGTTGTGCAGCAGCGTTTTAGGGCAGTGTGCCCCAGGGTTGGCACTGCCAAGCCCCTTCCCTGAGATCTGCTTTATTTAGGCTGCATTTTTATCAGCTCATTCCCACTTTTACTTTTCTAGTGTTGTTGTAGGTTTTTTGTGTTGTTTGGTATCATTTGGTAGGTTTGTTTTTGGGAATTGGGATGCACAAAATTTTTTCCATATAAGCGAATGGTAATTGCTTCCTCACTTAATGCCATTTTGACTCATGAAAGGTTTTATAGAAATGCTTTTTTTCTTTTTGGATAGCAGGGGGAACCTGTGCCCAATAAGGGCAATACTTTATCTCAAAGATTTTATTTAAACTAATGAAAAATGCTGTTTAGAAAAATGTCCTCTATTCATCAGTCTTTCCCAAAGAAATTTTGAGAAAGAAACATTCATTCAAACTCTGCATGGTTGAAACCTGATTTTGACAATGAACAAATACCACCTGGTCCTAGAAAGGAATGTGAGCTGCAAAATATCCAAAATCTGACAGAACTTAGAGATGTTTGAGGAGATGCAGGGGTAGGAAGACAACTGAAAAGAATTGTATTAATTTAAGAAGTGGAAAAGCTTATGAAAGCATTTTTTCAAAACCCTGCAAAAGCTAGTAAAATAATATTTTATTATGTTTTCTCCAGCTCTTGAAACCTCACAACTGCAAATTCATGACAAAATGTGAAAATAAGTATTGGCAACTAATTGCGCTCTCAGGGGATATTTAATTGAAAAGGAGCATAGTCACACTAGCTCTCTAGAGTGAGATGTTTATGGCATCTGGTCAAAGTAGAATGAGCATTTGAAAATCCTTTGACATGGCTGGTATTTAAAGAATAGCAATTGGCTAACATTTGTGGCTTTGTATGTTGAATATTTTGGCTCCCATCCTCTGGTATTCATTCTGAGAGATTTATAATCCTTCGGGGAATATGGTCAGTGACAAGAGTAGAGCTAAATCCTGAAATGTGGAAAAACTAACTTTCCCTAATAAAAAACTGGTCTAAAAAAATCCCTCAAACCTTACGAATATGTTTCCAGATTTTCAGAAAAAAAAAAAAAAAAAGCCGATGATTTAGAGAAATTATTTTTTGTAAGGATCTAACTACTTAATGGTAAATGTAAAACTTCCACACTTTGACTTCAAAACTGGCCTAGAGATAATTCACAAAAAAAAGAAAAAAAAAAAGAAAGTCTGACCTTCGGGCACCCATTGCAACTCTAATATATTACTTTAAAAAAAGTAATATTGTGGGTTGCAGTGTAAATAATGAACTAAAGGTCAAACGATGGAAGTGTAACTAAAGAAGAGAAAAACTAAGAGAACTTGAAATAAGAAACAGCAGTTGTGCTGGGTATATAAGCAGGAAATTGTAACCAAAGAAAATACATGGCAAGAATTGCTGTCAAGAAAGTACTCTAGCACGCACAACAGAGACATTTCGGTCAGTGCTTGTTTCCTCAGGGAGCTGTCTGGTGGGGAAGACATGGCTCAACTGAGAGCTTGTGTTCTTGCTTGCTATTTCTGAGTCTAACACCTCTGCCTAAAGAACTCTCTCTACCAGATGTTTTTCAAACCTTTAATCTCACCCCCAACTCTGTTTCTTCAGCTCCCCTGGGGGGGGGGGGGTGAGGAGGGAGATTTCTGTCTCCTATATCATTTAAATGCAGAAAATAGCTTCATTTCATAAGTTGATTTTCTGATATTTTTTTTTGCTTTCTTTTCTATTATTTTCCTTAGTTTTGGAATTAGAGTCTTTTTTTGCAATTTCCAGAATATCCCCCCCTTGTTTTCCTGTAGGAAGTATTGGAAGAGCTAGTCCCTGCGCCCTCAAATAAGGGAATACATGAAGTGACAGTAACAAATAGGCAGTTTATCATCTTAAGTTTTAAAACCAACTTTGAGAAATTTAATAATGGTGAAATTTCTCCACATCAAGTAGAAGACACAAAAAACTGAGAACTAATTTTAAATATAAGTAGTACAATTAAGGCTTTTGTCATTTTAAACTGAATCTTGACTAGAGAGGACAGACCAGCATAGCCACAGACAGAAGGCAGAAGTTGTCAGTGATGTCACCATGGAGAGTGGTTCATGACACTTTTAGAGATGTGGAGGGAATTTTCTGGAAGTATAAAGAAAAGATGAAGTCTAAACCTTGCCACCACTTTGTCATTTTTGCTCACTAGTAATCCCACTTTAGTTCTTATTTTGTAAGTAACATATGGTTGTGAATTCACAAAGAGGATTTATGTATGTGTCCTTGTATGATATGAAGGAAGAGGCTGGGTAGCTTGAATATAATTTTCTTTTGTGTGTGCTAAATCTTTACCTGTGTGTGTGTGTGTAGTAGCTATGACAGCTATGACAATAAAAACTAATGATTAGCAAGTTAAACAATCTGCAGGTGTCTTCCTTCAGAAAAGAACTTATTTGAAGTCACTTGGACTATGTTTTAAAGTCGGAATACTAGGCTGTCTTTTATGATCACCTTTAAAAAATAGTTTATTCTGAGCAACATTGGAAATACTGCTTCAGTGTCTTACAATTTCAGTTCTGATGGCGGAATTCTTAATTTACTAGCCAGTCTCAATAGCAGTAGGAGTAAAACGAATTGTGCTATGCGCTATAGAAAATTTTCAAATCAGTGGGCATTTATTAAGAATTCTTGCAGTGAATTCTGATTTTAATTTCCAGATCTGTTTCCCTGATTAGTGTTTGATTTTTTTTTTTTTTTAACCTTAAAGGAACAATTCCCTGCTGCTCTCAAAGGTGGTAGTCAGCTAAGTGGACACTGACTCACATGATCTTCTATGGTCAGCCAGCATTTTGACCACCAGTGTGAAGCTTTCTATTTTTTTTTCCTTCATCAACCTGCCCATTAGCTTCATGGCCACATCTTTTTTTTTTTTAAGATTTATTTATTTGTGCACACAGAACTGGGGTACAGGCCAGAGGCTCAGGGGTGGTGAGAGGCTTCACCAGAGACAGAGCGGGGAGCAGAACAGGCAGAGTGACGAAGTACACTGCTGAGGGGAGCAGCGGGCAGGTCAGGAGAGGTCTGCCACACCATGTGGTCACCTCCGGGGCAGGCGGGAATCGAACTCATGTGGAAGCGGTTTTTAGATTCTCAGTGCTGTGCTTTAACCTGCTGCGCCACCAGGGAGGGCCATGGCCACATCTTAATGGAATTTCCTGCTAGTCTTCCTACTGACTTAGGGTTCCAGTAGTGACTGTTGTACTGTACCCCTATCCCCCACAGTATTCCTTTCCCCAGGTTTTCCCTATTTTAGACTGTCTGAATACACTGTAAGAATAAATTTCAGAGGTTGTTTGTGTTACAAGTTCTACTTAGTTCAGTAACCACATAGACTACCTTTTATTTCTACATAAAACTTACATGCCTCAGTTGATCTTGCAAGATTTGCCCTCCAAGACTACCTAAAATCCTACTACTGTTAAATACTGTAGCTATTTTAAGCAAACAGAACACTCTTAAGCAAACAGAACACTTTTAAATGTTGCCTCTTAGTTGGAATATTATTTTGATACTTTGGTTTTTCTTGTAGTTCTGCACTACTATATTATTCATTTCCAAATTATAAGCCACTCAGAGCGCTGTCCACTTCATGAATTCAGTCATTTGGTAATTTCTATGACAGTGTGATCGTAACTAACTAGCCTGGGACATGGTGTCTTTGTAGGGAGGAAATCAGACAGCTACCGTGATTGCGTTGTGTTCGATGAAGGATTTCAACTTAGCTCAAGAGACCTGCCAGTTGGCAATCAGGGATGTTGGAGGCCTTGAAGTTTTAATAAATTTGCTTGATACCGATGAAGTCAAATGTAAAGTAAGTAGTTTTGCCACATGGATAAAGAACCTGGGTGAGGTTTCCTCATGGTCCTCTTGTTAGTGCTGGATGTCTGCACTCCTACTACTTCTTGCCTTATCTGCTATTAATTCCTGTTGTTAATAATCTGCTATTACTAACAGCCTGCTGCTTCTGTTAACTGTGCTGCTCTTTTCTTCTCTTCTGATTCTTTTCCGTTACTCTGTTCTTAAACGATGACTGTCAGTTTATATAATGGAAGGATAATAGAGAGGCAGTGCGTCACCCCAGGGGTAGAAAATATCTCTTTAAATAATTTAATCAGGGAAGGCTTTTAGATAGACTTGGAATTTATAAAAATATAGCACTGATTATATCAACACTCATTCTTCTATCACTTTTTTCTCATTTAGATTGGTTCATTAAAAATTCTGAAGGAAATCAGTCACAATCCCCAAATCAGACGTAATATTGTTGACCTGGGGGGCTTACCAATTATGGTCAATATACTTGATTCCCCACATAAGATCCTGAAATGTCTGGCAGCTGAGACAATTGCAAATGTGGCCAAGTTCAGAAGAGCCCGGCGGGCCGTGAGGCAGCATGGAGGCATCACGAGGCTGGTGAGTGAGGACCAGGGGCAGCTATCAGCCCCTGCTGGTCTCCAGGTGCTGTCCCCTGCAGCTCTTGTGGGTTCTGAAACACAAAACAACCACAGGGCGGGTGCTGGGAATCGTCTTTTTGTATGACATGTCCTTGAACCTTATTTTTGTCTATTTACATGAACAAGTCACCAAAACGCATGGTCAGTCTCAATTTTTGAAATAATGTTAAAATTCAAAAATGGTGGTTATTCTCACCGGCCTTGTGGGCAGGGCTACACCATCACCTGTGAGCACAGTGCTGGGGTAGCGAGCACCTGCTCTGTGGAAGCGACAGGTGGGTAACCCAGGAGGATGTGGTGACCTTGCTTGAGGACTCTTCTCTGAGGAGGCAGTCAGCACTGCGGACCTTTCTTTATCTCATTGTTACCAGTGGAGTAATGATTGAGCACAGCCTCATGGCAGGAGAGCAGTGAAGTGACATGAAGTATAGTGATAGGAGAGGGTGTGTGTGTGGGGGGGACACAGGGACTATGGTGACAGGGAGATGTGGTGGTGGGAGACTTAGGGGACCACACCTGAGGGGAGTAATCAAATACTGGCAAAAATGAGCAACTGTGTAAGAAAACAAGGATGTTTAATCAATTAAAAGCCAGAAATGAAAAGGCAGGCCACAAACACAAGTATCTGAAAGGGGTTTATGTCGGAAGTATATAAAGAACTCTCACAACAATACAGACAGAAACCCAGCTGCACACAGGCAACAGATTAAATCACATTCACAAAAGGATGTAAAATGGCCAATAAACGCATGAAAAAGACGTTCAGTCCCCCCCCCCAAGTCGTCAAGAAAATGCAAATTGAAAATAATAGCAACAAAAGAAAATGCTACTTAAAAAGAAAATGCAGTCTCAGTGGGATTTAATTTCTAGCGAGGACAGAAAGCAATAGCGTCCAAATCTGGGGGAGGGATTACGAAGGGTTTGTTTCTTTGCTTTCACGGACGGCTGCCTAATGTCGAGTAAGTCTTTAAAAAGCATGCTCGTTTCTGCCGGAGGTGAGTCTGGCAGCCCCGCAGTGTTTGACGGGCGCCTCGTTTCATTTCGAAGGTCCCCCTGTCTGTCGCTCTGTCCGTTCTTGCAGGTGGCTCTCCTGGACTGCAGGCAGAGTGCCGCGGACTTGGCTCCCTTCAGTCTCTACGAGACCAGAAACGTGGAAGTAGCCCGCTGCGGGGCACTAGCATTGTGGAGCTGCAGTAAGAGTTTCGCGAACAAGGAAGCCATTCGCAAGGCGGGAGGCATCCCGCTGCTGGCGCGGTTGCTGAAGACGTCACACGAGAACATGCTGATCCCGGTGGTGGGGACCTTGCAGGAATGCGCCTCCGAGGTGCCTGGCTCGCTCTGCCTCTCTTGCTTTCCTTTCCTTTCCTTTGAGGTCCGTTAATCAAAAAAGTAATTTTTGAGATGAGCATGGCTGCTAAGATGCCCCCCAACCAGCATCTTATTAGAGAAGAACAAATAGATCATTCGTTAAAGTGTTAATTGTGCGATACACTTTTGAAAAGTATGCTTAAATGCTCATTGTTCTATCAGTGTTTTTAGCCTGGTTTATCTACTGTCTATTCAGTTTCATTGTAGACACGTGTGAGTCGATTCTTGTGTTTGTGTTAGAAGCACAGAAATATGTACACGTTTGTTCCTAGGAAAGCTACCGGGCTGTAATCAAGGCAGAAAAGATCATTGAAAATCTAGTAAAGAACCTAAATAGTGAGAATGAGCAGCTACAACAGCATTGCGCCATGGCCATCTACCAGGTAAAGGGGACAAGGGCTTTGGGGTGCACCCCCGCGGAACTCGTTCTTGAGGTCTCATTTTTGGGGAAGAGGTTCTAGAATGTGCATTTTTGACAGGTCCCCTGAGGATTTTCCTGTACACATAGTTCTAAGAGCTGCTGCGCTGTGTTAGTAGTAGACGCCATCTATGTCAGAGAGAAAGTTGCTTCATGTCTGGTCCGACATTTGTAGAAGACCCTTACAGAGCTTGTCTCCTAAAGCTGTTCCCTAAGTGGAAAATAGCTAAACATGGACATGGTGTCTGCACCATGTTTCACTGTCCTACCCCAATCTAATTATCTTAGGAAATCTCTTTCCTACCAGGACAAGAAGGGTGAGTGAGTGTATGTGTTGGGTGTGTGTGTGTTCCTGTTGTATCTTTTTATGAATTTGCTTTATTAACTTTTAATCTTTATTAACTTTTGGTGGGATCTGAAGATCATAATTTGCAGGGGAAAAAATTAAAAACAGAAAGGAGAAGAAATAATTAGAATCATAAAGGAGAAGAAGCAATGGCCTTGACAAATAACTAGTATATAGTATATGGCCACAATAGCTTTTACCTAACTGGAGGTTTCCTGAAGAGGTGGATTTGAAAATAATGCAAAATGAGAGAATCTGCCTCTGAAAAGTTAGTCAGAGCAAGGGTTATGTCAGCAGAGGACTGTATGAAATTTTGTTGGGTAGTCATAACAAAACATCACGCAGGTGTTAAGCAATAGAAATTTATTTCCTCTCAGCTCTGGAAGCCCAAGGGCAAGGTGCTGATAGAGTTGGTTTCTTCTGGGACCCCTCTCCTGGCCTTGTGCATGGATATCCCTGTCTACACGCTTTCCTCCCTCTGCTCTCACGTGGTGCTTCCTTTGGATCCTAACAGCCTTCCTCATAAGGGTGCCAGTGATGTTGGAGGAGAGCCCACTGTAGTGACCTCACTGGACCATCACAACCTCTTTAGACTCCCCCCCACCCATCATCTTCAAATACTGTCATCACATTCTGTAGGTTGGGGGTTAGAACTTCAACATAGAAGTTTTGAGGCGCCACAACTTGGCTCATAGCAAGGATATATATAACATTGACTTTCGTATATGCCTATCTGAGTAACCATTTAGAGTAAGTTAGAAATACAGGTTAATTTTTTGAAGTTGCTACTGAACCAGAACCAAAAATCACATACAATATAAACATGCTTTGTGGACCCCACAAGGATGACTTCTCCAAAACCCCTCATGGATGGTGCATGGAACACATATGTCACACGCAGCCTCAGACACCGGCCTGATTAGGAAAAAGTACATCATATGCTGCATTCATCTTTTAGCTCTATAACCAGGGAATGATGGATGTCTGGGAACATCTGTGCATTTATGCACAGGATGACACAGACATGGAGAAACATGTTTGAGTGTATCATTTGCTGTTGACACTACCACTGTTCTGGGCACAGAAATTCTATTGTGAATATTGCTCCAAGGCGTCATTGAAGAGCCTACCAACCCCTATCAACTCATCTAATCTACTAAGACTTTGAATAGCATCCATGCAAAAATCTTCCATCATATGACTTTCTAGATTCCTTGTCTACTTCCTCTTCTGTCTCCATGGAAGCCTTGGCTACTTCAGGGCTGGCTTGGGAGAATTGCCAAGTATGAAGAAACTGCTTGACATTGCCAAAATCATGTTAAGGGGAGAGACACACTGTCAGATAGCTGCCAGTATACAGAAGAATTTTATTTTACTTGGAGGTTTGCTTAGAAAATGATACTCTCTGGAAGAGGTTTTATAGCTACTAGAATGGCAACCTCTCTAGCAATCACTGAAAGCCTGATTTGCCTTGATCACTGACAGCCCCTTAATTGACTTTTTGTGTAGTGTGCTGAAGATGAGGAAACCCGGGACCTCGTTCGGATGCATGGAGGGCTTAAAACTCTGGCCAGTCTGCTCAGTAACACTGACAATAAGGAAAGGCTGGCTGCTGTCACAGGGGCGATATGGAAATGTTCCATCAGCAAAAAGAACGTGACCAAGTAAGAGAAAAGGTGTTCAGTATTCAGCAATGAAAATAGGACCACGGAAACACATGCATGTAATTTAATGCAATTTTAATAGGGTCCATTCTAATGCTGCTCCTGTAGTTTTCATAGACGTGCATTCTAGATTAAGTTGGCAGTATTAAGAGATTCTCAGAAAGTTAAAAAGTCCCACTCCACTTCCTACCAATGGTCAATTTCAAATATGATTTCATCAAATTTTAAAGTAACTATGTAAACAGTGACCATTTTAATCTTCAGCTTGTTTCTTTGTATATATTTTAGAGTTCACATGATCTCTTCCTTATCTTAATGTGATGATTTTCTTTATGAAGACATTCACATGTCCTATCTAACATAAAATGTTTGTTTCACTTTGTTCTTGTAAAATTGTCTCTGAAATATGGAGGGGAAACCCTTAACATAGTAGAATCCTTGCTGAACCTTATCACAATAGGAATTATACTCATCTCAATTTTATAGGGTTTTCATAGGGATTGAATGAACATAAAGTGAACACAGAGTAATTTTTGTCTATTAATATGTTTGGAACTAGTATGATCAGCTACCTTTATAACACACACAAAAATGTACTGTTCTTCTTTCCCCTCCCCGTCTCTCTTTCTTGTGATGAACTTAGGTTTCGGGAATACAAAGTCATCGAAAACCTGGTGGGACTTCTAACTGACCAGCCTGAAGAAGTGCTGGTGAACGTGGTGGGTGCCTTGGGAGAATGCTGCCAGGAACATGAGAACAGAGTCATCGTCCGGAAATGCGGTGGCATCCAGCCACTGGTCAACCTCCTTGTTGGTGTGAACCAAGCTCTTCTTGTCAATGTCACCAAAGCGGTTGGTGCTTGTGCTGTAGAACCCGAGAATATGATGTAAGTTACCCAGGGGATGGAGATGTTTTGAATGTTGGGGGAAATGTGGGTTGTCATGCCATGGTGTCATCTCAAGGCACCGAGGAGCACAAATGGTGAAAAAGTATGATTTGTTTTTATATGTGAAGAGCCTCAAGGTTACCAAGTCAGAACAGAAATAGAGGTTCTCTAGGGTGGGGTGGTGGGCTGAAGTTGTGCATACTGGCAGGATTTAAAATAACCAATAACTGTGAACCAACGAATGGAAGCAACGAAGGCTTTTAATCTATGATCTTGGTCCTTAAGCAAATTATTGTCTAATTTGGAATGAAATATTTAAATGTGATGCAATTTAAGAACAGTGTAAGATTATATTTTATAATATAAAATCAGAAAGGGAAAAACTCATATGGGTCACATTTGTTGCTTTAGGTTTCTTCAGAGAATCAGAACTCATCAGGATGAGTGTGTAGATCTATATATTTATACCTAGATATGTTGAGAGTTATTTTTTTTAAGGAATTTGATTCATGAAATTGGCAGCTTAGGTAGTCCAAATTCCGGTGGAGCAGGATAGCAGACTGGAAGCGCAGGTATAAGTTGCAGTTTGAGTACAAAGGCAGTTGAATAGACGTAGGTATATCTATTTATATGTATACTGTAACTTCTTAACCACTCACCTGTCCTCATGTACAGGGTTGTTTCCATACTTGGCTATTATAAATAGTAGTATAGCAATACATATGTGTGCATATATTCCTTAGAATTACTGTTTTTATATCCTTCAGGTAAATACCCAGGAGTGAATTTGCTGGATCATATGGTAGACCTATTTTTAATATTTTGAGGAACTTCCACACTGTTTGCCATAAGGGGCAAGCCACCAATTGTGTAAGAGGGATCCTTTTTCTCTACAACCTCACCAATAATTATTGTTTCTGATCTTTTTGATATGGTCCATTGTCACAGTTATGAGATGATATCACATTGTGATTTTGATAGACATTTCCCTGAGAAAAGTGGTGATGAATGTTCCTGTTCCTGTTGGACTTAATATGTCTTATTTGCAGAACTGTCCATTTAGTCTTCCATCCATTTTTTGTTGTTATTGTTTTGCTTGGGTTATTTCTTGTTTCTTGAATTCTATGAGTTCTTTGCAGATCTTGGATATCAGCCCCTTGTCAATTGGAGGGTGTACAATTTTTTTTTTTCCATTCAGTAGGGCGTCTTGTTTTACTGACAGTTTCTTTGGCAGCACAGAAGCTTTTTAGTTTGATATAGACCTATTTGCTTATGTACTTTTGTTCCTCTTGATGTTAGAAATAAATCTTCAAAGATATCACTGCAGCTAATAGTAATGGAGTGTTTTGCTGTTTCCTTCTATGTATTTTGTGGTCTTGGGTCATAATCCAAGTCTTTAATCCATTTTTGAGTTAATTTTCATCTGTGGTGTGAGATAGTTCACTTTCAACTCTTTGTATGTGGCTGTCCATTTTTTAAAAAAATACCATTTGTTGAAGAGACATTCCTTTCTCCAGTGTACACACTTGGTTCCTTTCATACAGGTGTGAGCTTATTTCTGGGCTCTCAGTTCTATTCCACTGGTCTGTATATCTCTTTTAATTCCAGACCATATTGTTTAGATTACCATAGCTTTGTAGTACTTTTTGCTATCTGAGTGTGTGATACCACCATTGTTGTTTATTGTAAGTATTGCATTGGCCATTTAAAGTGTTTAAAAGAGAGAGTGGTCAAAGTGTCAAATTTTAGGACAAGGTTTCATAAGATAAAACAATGTCTTTTCTTCCGTGACAAGGAACTTGATGAATCCTTTTGTAATTGTACATGTAGTTTTCCTACAAATATATTTATAGATGAAGTCAAGTAGTTACAGAAAACAGATTTTTTGTTTGATGAGAATTCAAACAGTATTAGCATTGTATTTTAGACATACTATTATTGATATGTTTATTTATTGTATCTGTGAACTTTAAATTAAATGGTAAATAACAAACAATGCCTCTCTTGTATAAGTCTTATATAGTTCATAAGTTATAAGCTTGTTTTAATGACTGGTCATTTTATGTTTTAGTGATTTGTTTATGACTGTAGCTAAAAACTGAGATTTCATGTCAGGATAAAATTATATATTCATAGTATAGTTTTATCAACTTTGTGCAATTTCATTCTCATATTTTTTATTAAAAATAAGAAGGCCCTCTCTGGTGGTGCAACAGGTTAGTATGCAGCACTACAAGCTGGCGGCAGCCACTTTGGTGTGAGTCCGATCCCCGCCCTGGAGGTGGCCACATGGTGTGGCAGACCTCTGCCTGCTGCTCCCCTCAGCAGTGTACTTCATCGATCTTCCTATTCTGCTCTCCACTCTGTCTCTGGTGAATCCTCTCACTGCCCTTACACCTTTGGCCTGTACCCCAGTTCTGTATAAATAAATAAATCTTTTTTTTTTTAAGGAGGCTCTCATAATGGCTTGCCTACTGAATTAAAGTAATTTTAAAAGAAAACTATGATTTCATAAAATGATTCACTCTTAGAATCTTAGACTACTTCCTTTTCAGCAGGTTAAATCATTTCATATTAATTAGAGCCCTCCTAGGATCTGAAATGGAGTAACATATATCCTGATATATTAAATTCATGAAAATGTGAGTTTATTCATCGCTGAATTTTCTTTTCTTGTTGAGCTTTAGTGTCTGTTTAATATGTACAGAATTCATCTGGAGGTAATTTGACCTTCAAGTATATAAAATAAAACCAACATTGCAAAAAGCAGTTAACACTTGTGTTTTGGGGAATGTAATTTTCTAATAAATACTGTAAAATGCCAAACAAATTAAAAATATTGAAGCTACGAACTTAAGAAATATCTGTTATTGCTTTTCCACACCTCAGGCTCTTTGCTTTTTTAAATTTCTCTTTAAAACCTATTTTAAAGTAACATTAGACTTACAGAAACATTGCTAAGGAGAGAGAGCAGAGTATAGAGCTCCCACATACCTTTCATTTACCTCCCCTTCATCTTATCTTCCTGCTAACTAGTAAAATTATAGAAGCTGCCTTTGTTCTAGCCTAGTTCTTTGACTTTGAAGATGGATTAAAATTTTCTTCATATGGGTTTTGTACCTTCCTTTCTGTTCATTCCTAAGTATTTCACCTCAGTTGTTGAGGGCTTAACATTTTCCCCCACCTTTAGGTCCTTTATCTCATTGTCATCTCTAGGAAAATGACGACGACATTTGTATATTTGGGTGTTAATTTTTTTTTTTAAGATTTATTTATTCATACAGAACTGGGGTACAGGCCAGAGATGCGGAGGGTGAGAGAATTCACCAGGGATAGAGTGGGGAGCAGAACAGGCGGATCCACGAAGTACACTGCTGAGGGGAGCAGCGGGCGGGTCAGAAGAAGTCTGCCACGCCAAGTGGATCTCCTCCGGGGCAGGCGGGATCGAACTCATGCGGAAGTGGCTTAGGCTTCTTTTGCAGTGCATTAACCCGCTGCGCCACCAGGGAGGGGCCATTGGGTGTTAATTTTTATGCTACCACTTTGTGAAACTCTCCTATTGTTTGAGTTCATTTTATTATTAGTTCTCTAGGTTGACACATTTTACCCTATTGGCTAAATTCTGGTTTTTGTACATGAAGTTTTATTAGAGCATAGTTGGATTTGTTCGTTCACATATTGTCATTGGCTGCTAAGCTCCATTGGCAGAGTATAGTAATCGCAACAGAGACCTAATGACCCACAAAGATTATGTTCTTGACTATCTGGCCCTTTATAGAAAACTTAATTGATTTCTGCTCCAGGATTTTCCAATTTTTTTCTTCTTCATAAATTCTTATTGTTTAAATTGATTTTATCTTGTCTGAATTTATCAGTTAATTGTTTAGTGCATTATTAGATATGATGGTGGGCCTCTGCCTATTTCTGACATTAGTGGAAATTCCTCTATGTACAGAATGATTCTTTGTTAAGTAAAGCAATGTCTAAGGATGAAAGCATGTATATATATTGCACATTTTAAAAATATCTTGATTTCTTCCTTACTAACACTAGTTTTCTGACCCATCATTTGATTTTAAAGTGTTTTTGTTTTTAAAATCCAAAATGAAGTATTGTCAAACAATTTTAAACATTTATGGAGTAAATACTCCATATTCTGCTTTATGATTTTTCTGTCTTTCAATATAATAAATGATATTAATGAGCTTCCAAACATAACATCAGGCTTGTATTCATGGAATAAGTTTCATTTGGTCATGATACACTTTTTCTAAGTGTGTTGTAGGAGTCAAGTTGTTAATCTTATTTAATATTTTTAAATGATATTCATGGTAGTCTGTTGTGTCATTTTTTTGTTGTTTAAATATTTTATTTCATCAATGTAGGAAAAATACTGTACCTCCTGCTTTAAAAAGGAATTAAAAGAATTGTTTTTCATTGTAATACTCTGGAATAATTTATTGAACAATGAAATCCCCTGAACTTTAAAGTATTGATACAAGTCTAAACTGCAAATCTACAAGTCTACTATGACTTTTTGTTTTGATTTTTTGTTTTTCCTTAGTTCTTCTGTAGAATACTTTTTATACTGGCAATCTACATTTTCTTATAAAATTTTCATTTAGTTTATCAAATTTATTTGAATGGTAGTTTACAAAATCATGCCTTATGATTTTGAAATTTTGCTTTTATCAATGGTTATTTATCCATTGCCATTTTAAATTTTTGTGTATGTGAGCTTTCTCCTGTTTTTTTTTCCTCTGACAGTATCTCATAGTTTATTTTGACTTATTTTTTTGTAAAAATTATGAACAAAGTGTTTTGCTTTTTTATTTTCTGCTTCATAAATATCTTCTGTGTTTATTAATTCCTTATTGATTTCTTTTAGCATATGTTATAGGCATTTTTCTAATATTTTTAACTGGAAAGTCATTTTATTTTTAAGATTTTATTTATTTATGCATACAATAACTGGGGTGTAGTCCAGAGGTGCTGAGGGT